AAAAAAAAAAAAAAAAAGTTTATAGGGAAATTTTTATTTGTCCAAAAATATAAACACTAATGTTTTGAAGGGGAAATGAGACAAATTTTTATTTGTCCAAAAATATAAACACAAGTAATTATGTGTAAAATTTGCTTACATGTAAACTTGTCATTAAAATACCCACCAGTATTTCACAACAGATTTTTTCTCATTTAAAATTAGGGGTAATTTAGCCCACAAGTAATGATTTGTATCAAAAAGCTAAAAAAGCCAAATGAAAACGCTCCAATAGGTAACGTTTTGAATTTAAGCTTTTTGAGCAAATAAGTTGAAAAGAGAAGTTGCTAACCAAACATAAGTTTTAGCGGATCCTAAAAATCAAATAAGCCAAAATGCACAAACAACTAAATTTTGTAGAAAACGGATATCCAAACATAGCCAAAATTTATGACTAAAAAAATTGAGTCAAGTAAAAAAAAAAACAAACTATATAGCAACCCATCAAAATACCCATTCAGGTACACCTATAATTTCTTAGTTCTGCTGAAAAAAAAAAAAAATATACTCAAACTTCATCCTCATCATCATCCTAAAATAGAAAAAACTTCACCAATGACTTTGTAAGAAACGAGGAAAACGGGTGTAACTACTAACATCAAGCGCACCATGAGAGGGAAAGCTCATATGAAGCTCAAGTGGGATTTCATCCTAAAACTAATTGGTGGAAGGAGAAGTAGCCCATTAGACTTATAAGGTGGGTCTATTTTACATCGATGAACGATATGAAACAATTCACAAGTGATAGTCTAACATACTTCATAACAAAATATACATAGAACCTATGTTTTGAAGGAAAAAAAAAATGCCACAATTTGAGGAAAATTACAGATATTTTAATGTGGGGGCCATATTTGAAGGGGAATTAAGTATGCAGAGTGATGACATATAACTTGTACAATTATACTACATTAAATTATCAAAGGCAAAAGTTCAAATCTATCTTATCTTTCTTTCACCAAAAAAATATTATTTCTAGAGATGATGATATTTTTTTATTTTTTTTTTTACAATCAAATATGATATTTCAATCCCCAAACCATATATAAGGTGAAGCAAAAATATCATATTTGATATTTTCTTTACATCATCATATTTTTCAACAACTAGATGAGTTTGTATGAAAATAATTTGTTCTTAGAAAATGGGCTAAAACCTTGAAAAGAGCTTAGAGGATGCTTGGATACAAATTTAACTATTAGGCCGCGTTTACTAGCAAGGACAGGATTAGATTAGGTCGGTTAACCAACCTAATCTTTTGTTTACTGGGCAGGTTAATGATAGAAAAAAAATGATGTGGAGATTAGCTGGCAAGTGGGTCTGATCTCATTAAAGTGACGTGTGAGGTTAATTTATTCCCCTCAACTTGGCCGGATTTTTTAATCCTCTCTTTTAGTTGCCAATTTTGTCCAAAATAAAGGTAGCAAATGTCCATTACACCCCTCAATGTCATAAAAATTACAGATTTAGTAATTATAAAACCAAAAAATTTTGTCGATTACTGCAGCAATCTGCTCGAAGTGGAAAACCCTAGCAACTGCTCCGTATGCCCTATCTTCTCCTTCGAATTCAAGTTGCTTTGTTCGTCTTTATTGTAATTGATCGTCTTGTGAAATCGCAGGTGTGCCTTGATCTTGGTCGACGGATCCCGACACGAAATACTCCAACCCATATTCGAGGTCATGAATGTAGTAATTTCTGCTTCAGTTTTTTTGTTCTTCCATCGATTTTTTTGTTAAAACGTCAGACGCCGTTACCTTTTGGTTCAATTACAATTTCTGATTCAGTTAATTTGAATTTTGTTGTTAAACATTGGTATATATATATGTGCCAGTGGACTCTGCTCCTTTGTGGTTCATTTTTATTTTTTCTTCCATATTTTGTTCCCATCGAAATGCCTCTATGCTTGCAGCAGAATTTTGAGGAGTTTTAATTTAATTTTATTTTTTAAACATTGATATATACATGTCACAGATGAATCTGCTATGGCTTTTGTTATGCGGACTAGTTAGTGAAATATTTTGGGTTCAACATGAAATACTTGATACATTCTGTTGTAACACTGCCAATCTTATAACATGAAATACTTGATATTATAGGGTATCTTGCAGTCTTTTTTGTTGAGTTGATGAACCTTCTTTGTGTCGGTTTGATGTTTTCTTCTTGTTATGCGGTTTGGATACTTGTTAATAGAGGTTTCTGCGTTTGATTATGATTTTTGGATTGATGTGTTAATTGCAGTTTCATTTAATTTATGTGGTCCTGCTATTGTACTCTTGCTAATTGTGCATCTCCTTGTTGGTTTACTTGTTGTTTTGATATAATTTTCAGAGTTGAAGTTGTGTTGTCAAATTTTGATTTGAGATAAGCTATTTATGTCAAATTTGAAGATGTGTGTTTGTTTTCTACTTGATCATGTATAATCCAGTATTTCACTAACTTTTTTTATGATGTTCGCGGTCATTGTTTACCTTTTTCTGGTTTCTATGTGTTGTTTGGTAAGTGGACCATGCTCAATGAAGTGAGTGTTAAACATTTAAATGCTATATTTGAATTATACCCTTCAGAAGCATCTTATGCTTTTATGGGGCCTATTTATTCTACTTGTTATGCCACTTATGTTTCCTGTCATGAAAACTCAGAAAAAAAATCTATTTGTTGTTGTTGTCTTTTTATTCTTTAGGAAGGAAAAAAACTTCTAATGTTAGGTTGGAAATAAGATCTGAAATTTGGTATGTGATAATACAGTTTAAAAAATTAAATTTTAACTTTTACAATAATAAGAAAGTAACAGAAAATAACTACAGTACTAATCAAAGTAAGAATAAATAATTAATTGTTTGCCAATAATAAGAAAGTAACAGAAAATAACTACAGTACAATAATAAGAAAGTAACAGAAAATAACTACAGTGATGATTTGTTTGCCAATTATGTTTATGCAGATAATTAATTGTGTATATTCAGGATAAATTTAATACATATTAATATATT